GTATGAGAACCGAAAGCGATCGATGATCAGAACATTGGACCCGCACTCTGATGAGGCGGCAAACGTGGCACTGATTCTCGTTCGCATGAGGACCATGCCGCCTCCTGAATTCGACATCGACCACTTCTTCGAAATTGGGAAAGAACCAGAACAGGGAGCAGAAGCTACTGACCAGCCCGAGGCCGAAGGTGTCGATATGGAAACTGAATGTGAACAGGAGAAGGAGGAGCAAGACGTTGACATGTCCGACCCGAAGACATCAATACTGCAAGCCATCGACGAATTCGAGAAGAAGCTTGGGCAAGCAGAATTCTGCATCCACTGCATGAAGTCGGGACACACAACTCTCAATTGCGAGAAGATCCCTTCATCTTCACCCACAGTCACCTCAGTGTTGAGTGATTGGAAGAAGAGAGTGAAGGGAGAGGTTGCACCCGACGATATACCATCCGGACATCCAACCGAGGAGCCTAAGAAGAAGAAGCAGAGAGCATCACCTACTCCAGACAGGAAGGTCGACAGCGAGTTCAGGCGAAAAGAAATGTTGAAAGCAAGAGTCGTGACAATGTTCGACCATGACGGGTTCACATTGATTGAAAGTGCCGATGGAGTCGAAGGAGGGACACATTCCTACAATGGGCGGAAGCTTGCGGAAGTAGGCCCTAGGGATATGAGGGTGGTGTACGAATTTGTAGAGAAGGCATTTGTGCACTCCAGTTCCCTCAAACCAAGGGCATGTCATCACTTCTATCCCCTACCGACACGGAGGGAGAAGGGATACAAACCGATCGACCCCATGACGATGATCGGGAAGGTAGAATTAGTACCGATCAACGGAGTCACTTTCGCTGCACAGAACTCCGACTACGGCAACCACAAGTATCCGACTCCAGACTGTCGAGTACCAGAATACAGCCAAGCGAGCCAGGCCCTGAGTCGTCGATTGGGAGCGAAGTTGAGGCATCGAATTGGACGCCAGTTCAGGACAGGAGGAAGACTCACACCAATCAAATGCGATGAAGGCGCATGGGTGTCATGGGAAGACCTGTTAGGTGATAACGCAGTTTGGGAAGACGGTTATCACTATGGCAACATAGACATCGTGACCAAGAAGGCGCGTTTGGAGAAGTACTTCGACCAGAACTATGAGTGTTTCCGCATAACCAAGAGGATCAGATTCCAGATGTTGGCGGTCCGCGTTCACCCTGATGAACTCAATGACCCTGATGACCCGATGGAGAAGGAATGGATTGACGAACTCAAGGGCATGGGAATCTCCAAAGGAAGACTCCACCATAGCGATGGATGGTGCTTTCCCGTGGCCGTAAGAGCAACCTCAGCACACTCAACGGACGGCGGAGGTTATGACGTTACCATCAACATCGACCACATTGGATCGAGAATGACCAACGACATGGCCCTATCTATGGTAACTGCATTTCACGCTACCAATCTTGGAGCGCTGACTTCAATCATGCGACGGGGGCTAGTGCCGGGAGGTCTCGGTTCATCGGGAAGGGATTCTATCCACATCACATGTTTTCCGCCATGGGCCTGGGAGCAGGGCTACAAGGGAAAACCTTGGCTGGGTCGTAAGGTCGCACTGAGTGATCGCCCAGTGGTTCTCTACATTCCGGTGTGGAAGCTGCAGGAGTACGGGCTTCTCATCTCAGCGACTGGATCTCTATTGGTTGAGGACGTCGTTCCCTTCGATGAGGTTAAAGGGGCATGGTTGCAATGCGACAATGCAGAACCCGGACAGCCTGAGGAGATCGAATGGATCAGGTTACTCAATAGAGAACCCGACCCTGGAAGCTACCTTGTTCTGGAGTCCAAATACGGAAACCCGATCATGATTCCACGCTACCAAAAGCTTGAGAGTTTAGCGGTTGAAGTTCAGGACGATACCTACTCCGAGGACGACGCCAAAATCTCAAAGCTGTTGGGTATGATCGAGGAGAGTGGTGTCTACCCAGAGTATGATAGCACCGAGTGGCAGGAAATCTTTGAGGAGATCGTGTACCGCCGAGCAATGAAAGACTATGACTCAAGACCATGTCCTAACTGTCTTGGCGAAGTCGATGTGCGATTGACGATATGTCCGCACTGCGTAGCGGTTTTGATCGCGAATGGGAAGCTCACGCATGTGGTACCCAAGGAGACAAGGGACCGCAATCAACGATCACTTCCGAGAGATGTCCCAGCCAGTTCTTCCGGTGAGGCAACTTCTGCTGCGGGTGCAAATATCGATGAAGTCATCAAGAATGCACGCAAGACAGCCGAAGAAGTCATTGACGTCGAGGAATCCGAAGGAGAGGAAGACGAGGAAGTTCCTATCATTTTGAAGGAACGACCGGACGAAGCTGAAGGCGAACCCGAATATCGGGAGGTCCCTCAAGATGGATACGGGAATGAACTTCCACAGCCTTTCCCCTTCGCAATTGACGAATTGCCGCAAGAAGCTGCGATCCCCATCGACCACAACTTTGCAATCACACAGCAATTTGATCTGAGGTTGATGAAGTTGATCAAGAGCTTGGCCAACGCAACGTTCGACATCAATTGCTTTGAGAGTCGTGAAGACGTACTGCGAAAGTTCGACGATGGACAGCGGCATGATACTCCATACAATAGATGGCCAATAGTACCGAATGATCCGGATACTGGGTTTCCAAGACGCCTTCAGAGAGCCGAGGTCGTAGGCATGAGCAAATAGACCAACGACGTGTATGCAACAGAAGCGTGACAGATCTATGAATTCCACGCCCACGTTATTCACCCGATGATGATCACTGCAATCCGCTGTGGGCTTAGCCACAAATACCTCAGAGAGGTCGGCAGCGCTCGGCGCAACATGAGTGATCCAAAGGCTCGAAGATCTGAGACCCAGGAAGAGATCATCGAGATGCTGGCATTCATCTCAAATTTCATCAGACGCTTGATCAGGAAGACTTTCGGAGCGAGCCGATATAGTTACTACCAGAAACCAGATAACGAAAGTGCCGCTTCATACAAATTCATCGACATTAGCCCCGCCATCAAATCGGAGCGGAAGAATGTCACAAAGGAGATCCTCGTTGCATGCCGCTACTATGGCATAGAGGTATCCGATATGCAAACAAAGGGGAAACCCAAGGAACGTTGAGCTCATCAAGGACTACATTGGCTTTGTCGGAGCTGACTACAAGCGACAACTTACGAATGGTTGAGCATTGGGGTCATACCGACATACTACTTCCGGTACTTCAAGTACTAAGGGATCTTGGGTAATTCATAATGACCGTTTTGGCATCATAGGAGTGAAATAGAATTGTATTTCACACCGTTGGTAATCGCATAATACCATAAGTAGGTGCACGTCTTCCGCTTGTAGCCCCATTACCCGTTTGATCCAACTTTCAAGCGAATATAAGATCGTTTGCTAATTCAATTCAATAGGACATATTGGTTGACCTCCAATGCACTTTTAAGAACATGATTCGTTCTCCGGTTTTTACATCCACTCATCTCCCTTCCCCGTCGAAGCACGGATATGGGGGGTGTCAATAGGGATAAGGTCCCAGTATAGTTGCTATACAGGTACATGCCATATATTTTTGGCTCAAGTGCCCAACCAGGTAAAAGGAGCTTTAGCGCCCGAGCTTCATGTTGAACTAAGGGCTAGAACGGGGCCAGAGCACACCTTTCCATCCGTTCGCAATTTTCCTAATTATCCATTATATGTTTCCTATCTTCAATAATTCCCCAATCCCCATCAATTCCCATCATATAAAATATATTCTCTTCAATCCGATTCTTTCGTAAATCCTCAATAAATAACATTATATATATCATGAAAATATTTGTTCAAATCATCAATTAAATCTTATTATAAAGAAAAAACAACATTCCAATTTTATTCAAAACCTTCCGCCTCCAATACTTTCCTATTACAATTATTTATCTTTCCTAAAATATCCTTTTCAATTCGATTCTTTCGCAAATTCTTATTAATTAATTTTATGCAATCTCTTCTTTCTTTCCTATCCTTAAAAACCCCCCCAATATATATTCCTCATCAATCCAACAATAATATTAAATTTAACCGCGCCTACAATCTATTCTCTTTCCATAAATTCCTAAATCTCTTATAATATTATTAATGCATTTTTCGTCGTCAATTATATTATCGATACAATATATACCTCATATCATTAATTCTACATTTCCAAATAATCCATATTTTTTTTCTTTCCTCCACCAAATTAGTTTCACCTCTCCGAAATTAATCCTTTCGTAACCTCCCCCCCTATATCCCCTTTATTCATTTCGTCCGCTCCAACAACCTCAAACCCTACCTATACTAATTATTAATAAAATTGAATATATAAACATTGATATTAATCAATATTTTGTATATAATTAAATTTCAAAATTCAAATATTTATATGGTTATTAAATATAACAAAATGTATGTTAAAGATATAAATCCTTACAAATATAAATAGTAAAAATATATCGAAATATATTAATTTTCAAATCCCTATTGCAATCAATTCCAAATTAGGATGCTTTTCGGCTCTAGATCAAGGTCATCACTACTAGGTTGGAGGCCATCGCTACTAGGTTGGAGACCATCGCTATTAGGGTGGAGGCCATCGCTATTAGGGTGGAGGCCATCGCTACAAGGGTGGAGGCCATCACTACTATAAGATGATTACTTGGTGGAGGCCATCGCTACTAGGTGGAGACCATCGCTGTTAGGGTGGAGGCCATCGCTATTTGGGCGGAGGCCATCCCTATTAGGTTGGAGGTCATCGCTACTAGGTGCAGGCCATCGCTAGGACGCTCAAAAAGGCCTGATCCCTGTGCGCCACTTTGCCCACTTGGTGGCCTAAAGGACTCTGTCTGGCTAACATGTTTCTAAATGATGATTACGTTCGCTTGGCTGGATGTATATTGATAAGACAAAAATACACAGTAATAGTAATACTCATTGTGTTTTTTCCGTGAAACAGTTGCTAAAACTCACCAACGTCAGGCCCTGCTGGATGAATTGCTTTTTCCACATCCTGCAATGACAATGTACAGTGGCAGAAACCATTGACATTGGTGCATACAGGTCCTCTTCTGATGTCTGCGTTCCCAAAACCTGATCGACTTCCCTGCAGGCAGGTGTTGACAATCTGCAAAGTATTGCATCGAGTACCCGAGCCTCAAAACTTGTCGCGCTTCCAGAACTGCTTGAACCTAGTGACAAAGGGCATCGCTACTAGGAGCAACACTACTAGTAGCTCCTGGCCCTACTACTAGGAGCAAGAAGCTACTAGGTGGAGGCCATTGCTATAGCAATTTGGATTGTCAGGTCTTGAAGATTCAGGAGATAAGTTTCATCTTCGATCCTCTGGTGAGCTGCTGTCAGGCTCCACACTCATTTCCTGCTCGCAAAGGATGTGATTACGTGACAACCAATGAGAACGAGCAGTGAAAAATGCCAAATGCAAAAACATGAACAGATTTTCATTTCAATGCGCTTCCAAATGACACATCAGCGCTCACAAACTGGTGCTCTAAGAGGCGCTTTAATGGAAGGTTGTCCAAGATCAAAGGACAAAGGAACATCAGGAGTACTCTCCTCGCTGCTCGTCGTTCCCCCCTACTTTCTGTCAGCAACTAGTGGTTCAAAGGTGGGGGTTGCTCTTTACACATACTGTCTTTTCATTGTCGCAGCATCATCACATTGTCATCTCATGCATTTCACAACATTGTCATCGATTCCACAACAGTCATCTGTATGCTTCTCCTCAACCTCTCAGTTTTCTTCTCAGAAACAATGTTCGCTACTAGGAACAAGTGCATCGCTAGTAGTAACAAGCAAGTGCCTTACTAGTAGTGTAACAAGAAGCTATTAGAAACAATGTTCGCTACCTTCTTCAGTAGCTCCCATTCGCCTCCACCCAAAGCTGGCCCTTGGTGTCGCCTTTCCGCCTCAACCAAACCTAGCGATGGCCTCCAACCTAGAAGCGATGGCCTCCAACCTAGGCCCAGCTGCTTCCTCAAGCACAAACTTCAGATTAAAGCCTCTTCCTGAATTGTTTTGCTGACTGACCCGGCAGCACTCTGAAGATATGAGACTACCAATGTGCCTCGTGCTCGAACACCACTTGTCTTATCCATCTGTGTTTCAGCATCTGAGACAAGCTAAATCACACCTTGTGCCTCCTGTTCACTATTTTCATTCAGCCTCCAGGATGGATCCAAACTAGCTAGACCCAACAAGGTGCTCTGCGCATCTCTGCCTCTGCTTCGTCCGGTTCATCTCGTGGCTCTGTCAGATATTTTTTGAAGCTCAGGAGGGGTTAGGCAATTAAGCAGCGCTACTGAGCTTCAGTACCTTCTTATTAGGCTTGGACGCAAAAAGGCTCAGGCTCAATGATTTGGTTCCTAGACTTGTTACATTGTTGGGAAACTTATATAACAGCTAAAGCGGCTCATCACTCAAATCATTTACGTCTTTCACACTACCACTAGGAGGCCCATGTGGATTCTGTGTGGTCTTGGGCCTTCAGCCGCACGTAAAGGACTAGCATAATTCCTAGTAGTAAGAATGCTCCTAGTAGCGAACATTGTTACTACTAGTAAAGCACTTGTTACTAGAAGCGATGCACTTGTTCCTAGTAGCGTCCTTGTTCCTAGTAGTAAGGCCAGGAGCCCCTAGTAGCTTCTTGTTACTACTAGTAAGGCACTTGTTACTAGAAGCGATGCACTTGCTCCTAGTAGCGTCCTTGTTCCTATTAGTAAGGCCAGCCCCTAGTAGCTTCTTGTTACTACTAGTAAGGCACTTGTTACTAGAAGCGATGCACTTGTTCCTAGTAGCGAACCTTGTTCCTA